TTGAAACTAAATATACTTTTCATTTCTAGTTTGTAAACTTTCCTATTAAATTTTATATGAGTCGTTATTACTTTTTTATACGGTTTCTATACTTTACAAATCATTAATTTTTAATTAAAACAAAAAATATGTATTTTTTTCTGTTGAAATAATATGCATACTTAAATAAAAAAGAAATTTTAAAACCGTACTTGATCATCATGATTACAATGTGAAATTACTTAATTTTAGTTTTTTTTAATTTATGTAAACATTTGAATTTTCTAATTTTGATTATTAAAATCTAAATAGCTGTATGTTATTGCTTCATTAAAAAAATGTTACTATTGCTTTTTTAAAGTTAATTAGAAGTATATTAGAAAATGTTCATAAGCCTTAGAGACACATCATGCAGAAATTACACTAGCGTGCAATCTGACAATCAAATGTTTTTTATACTTCTATTTTACAGCTGCAAAAGTGTTTTTTCGTGTTGAGTATTCATGGTTTTTAAATTTTTTTATATAATAGAACTATTAGCCACAGTGTTGGTCCAAAAATATCATTAACAAAAAAGAAAAACTTCTCTTTGATAAAATTAATTAAATAAAATTAAAACTAATAAGGTGCGGGATCTTGAGATTTTTCGGACCTGTTGTAAATCAAAATTGCATTTTAAAATGGAATAATCTAAGTGAATTATTTTTATGTTAGATATCCCTCTAGAAGATCCTACAATATTATACATTTTTTATAAAGTTAAAATACAATTTTAATTAATTGATTAATTAAAGAAATATTTATTCATACAATTTTTTATTAAAAATTGAGTACTAAAAATAAAAAAAATTCTATATTTCTAATGCTAACAAAAATTGATTTTTCATCATTCTATGTTATTTAATTATTAAATAATAACATAATTATGATTGTATTTATTATATTTAATATCTAAATAGTTCTGATACTATTATTGAAGGTGCAAAGTAAAAAATTTAAGGATTCAAATCATAGTTCCCTGTTTTATCCAAAGATTACATAAACATACTTTTAAATTGAATTTTATACCACTTCAATGCGGGAAAATTGAATAAACATTTGCAAGAAAATTTTGTATGAAAATACAATCAAAAAATATATACATAAAAATTTTTGTCAAGCATTTTAAATGATATTAAATAGATCTTATCTTTTCTGATATTTTATTTACTGTGGGTTTAGAAATATATAAAATCTAAATAACTATAAATCATAAGAATATACAACATTTATGAACGTCACTACTATTCGATGTTTTATAGTTTTTTACGTAATTATAAAGACAAAAACTATAAAAGATAACTAAAAAATGAACAAAAGTATAAATTAATTAAGTATAGTTAAAATTTGTCAGTCTAATGCTATATTATAATCAGCGACCTGATCCATTCGCAAAAATCGCCATTAACTTTGACCCTTCGTACAGGAAAATAAATGATAACATAGTGTGGTCGTGGCACAGTATGAACGTGGTATAGTTGAGACAAGTTTATATGATATCTGTTAGTGATTATAATCACTATCATCATAAGAAACGCTTTGATGCAAATCTGTAGATAGTGTTCAATTTTAAGAAATTGGTGGATTATTCCAAAAGCAAAAATAACTATTTTTTGTTCTACTTCGACTACCATTTGCACATAGAAAATAGGTCGTCGGTACAATTTTTATTTTTTTGAACTTCTAGTACGTAAAATAAACTTTATTTTAACATATATTTAAAAGACGCAGTATAACTGGAACATTTTCAATAATTAATTTGAAAAAGTTCTACCTTATATACAAATTTTCAAAAATTTAAAAAAGCTTTTTTTAACTTTGAAGAGGCAAAATAAGTATAAATTTATATTTAATGTAAGTTAGATTCATATAAATTTTATATGTATTGGCGGATTCATTACTATGGCAAACCTTTATAAGGTATTTTAAAATAAGCAAAAAAAAATTAAATTTGAACACATAAATAACATGTTTTTTTAACTACCGCAGACGTTTGCACATATAAGATAAGTCGCGCGGGACGAATTTTTTTTTTTTAATTTATAGTAAGTAACATAAGCATTAATTTGACATATGTTTGAAAGAAGCAGTATTTCCGGAACATTTTCAAAAGTTAAGTAGAAAAATTTGAGTTTTGTAAAAAAATTTTCTATTTTGAATCCCCTCTTGTGGGCAGGTAAAGGGTTAGATTTTCAAAAATATTATATCAAATAAAAGGGAATTACTTAAGGTTTCAATATAAAATATAATTATTTTGATTTGTTCATTGTTTAATAAATTATGGCAAATTTTAGGGAAAAAAAGTGAAAAAATTTCGAAATTTATCAATTTAAAAAACTGTAAGTTTTTGAGGGATTTCCACCATTTTCGGGAATGAGAAAAAATTTTCAATTTTTGAGTATAATGTGTTCAACTGGATACGATTTGTGGTCTTTTGACGTATCGTTGAGAAAAATCGGTTTAGTGTGAGCTGAAAAAAAGTAGTGACAGACGCAAAAAATAAACACATCATAGTAAAATTAATATCTTCTCAGCTTCGAATCGAAATTAAAATAAAAGAAAAATTATACTCCCTACTGTATATAATGTAAAATTATATTATTCATTTAGAAAATATATGAAATTATACAAAAATAGTATTTTATTAGTTGGGATGTAAGGTTAGATTGAAAGGATTTCAACAAATATTTTTTTCTATTATGCCGTAAAGCCTGTTTTGTAAAAATTAAAATAAATATATCATTATTTAAAAAAAAAAATAAACATTTTGTCTTTCTCTACTCAGTCATAAAAATGTTCAACAATAAACAATTATATATTATTTTTACTTTACAAGGAAATATCGATAACTAATGGCGATGAGTAAATCTTTTTTATGTTGGTATGTGATGATGTCATCGCTGAGAACACGTGAAATATTTCCCCAGTTGCTACTCTAATATTTATCGTATATAAGTAAAATTATATTATGATTATCCAAAAAAATTAAATTTATACAATTATTATTCGTATTAATAGTCTTAACTTCTAAAGTTACTTTTAAATAATATATTGTTTCTATTACATATATATTGTCAATAATATTGTAACATGGATTAATAAATATTTTCGAATATATATAATTTACAGTATATAAAACAAGGGCAGTTTTTAAATATTGATAATTTTATTGTGGATTTACATAATTGTGAATTAATAAAACGGCAAACTTTATAATTATATTTTTAATAATGTAGTCGAAAAGTATTAAGAGTAATTTTTTTTAGTGTCGTTTTAAAAGAGCCGCATTTATAGGTTGTGTATTGAATAAATGTGTTCTTTCTTGCGATTGATTTAGGGTGGAGAAAATATTTAACATATTAATATTAAAACATGTAATTGTTTGCGTATTGCTTTACAAATATTGAGAGCAAAAGAAAAATTATAGATCTTCCATAGATTATCACAATTCCTAAATGCGTTCTTAAAAAGGTAAGTAATGAAGGAATTAAAATAAATATATTCATTTTACGACCAAAGATGATTCTTGATCTATGCTTAGCATTAAAAAAAGACAATGAAGTACCATAAGAACTTTATGAATTATATTTAAAATATTTTAGTCATCCTAATTCTTATTAGATATCTTTTATTATTCGTTCAACGATGTATGTGTATTTAAGAGTTTTTATGTGTAATGCATTATGTGGAATTAAATTACATGTAGCCCATGAACTGTTTGGTGGCCATGGCCGTACTTTTATCTTTTCAAATTAGCATATTACAATTGACGTTATGATACCCAACTGACAAGTCCTTATTGATAACACCATGATTAATAAATCGGTTATAATTAAAAAGGCTCTTTTATTTTTTTATTATGTAACTATTTATAATTATTTTGTAGGATTAAAAGCCTACAAATTGTTTAAAACTTTTTTAATAGTATGGCAGTCTAAAAACACGCTATAAAATTTAAACTCTTAACATGAATTGATGAAATTATTTCTACGAATTCTAAATTTAATAGTTAATAAAATCATTAAAATAAATATTCTTTTTATATATAAAATTATTTGACTAATAAATTTAATAACCACTCAATTCTAGTCGACCATTTTATTTAATAACTGAAGTACAATACCAATTGTTACTTGATGCCTTTATATCCGAACTATTTGTAAAGTAGCCTAATTTTACTTTTAATTTGGTCAGACAAAATAAGCATTGTGTTTTCGGGGGTTGGTGGTACATCGTGTGATGATGTATGAGTCACCGTAATAACATTTTAGTAGGTTTTCTCTGCGTGACTCACTTATTTATAGGACCAAATATTGACCTTAACTGAACATTTCTTTTAATCATTCTTTTTCGTAAAATAATTTCACTTTTAATAGAAGTAACAAAAAATGTATGTTTATTTTAAGATTCAAAATAATTAACAAAATTTGAATGAATGCTTTGCATATCAAAAATATTTAAAAACTTCAAACATCGCGTCAAAATGTTAAGACATAATTGGTTGATTTATTTTTGATTCCCTAAAAAAAATTATTACATTTACTTTTGATAAATTGATGTGTATATTTTACTATTCTCAATGAAAAAATAGCTTATTTTTAAACTTAGCAATTTAGAGCAGTTTTGCAAAAAGTTACTTATCTTTTATATTGATATATGTTAAATGCTTATTCATTAAACAGAAAAAAGTGAATATTGTAGTAACTTATTAATCATGTATTTCTTAAACGTTTAGCCACAAGTCTCGTCGACGAGATCAATAATACTTTTTGAAACAAATCGCATTACAATATTAACCTTTACATGCCACGCCGTTAGTTATGAGTATTAGATAACATAACATTTTAATAGTTTGTTAATTTAGGTGCCTATCTGAAATATGTTGATGTTTATAAATAAATATAGTTGTTATTAAACACGAACAATAATAAAACTTAGCTCTGGTAATGATACTTAGTTGAGAATATTAAACTTCTACGAACCTAAATAACTTGCATACGAATTAGTTGTCTGGACTTAGTAGTAGTTGTAAAAACAATCTAATACATTCTTCAGTCTTCAAGAGATATTTATAGAATACAATCTCACTAATAAATTGTTGCAAAATTGTACTTAATAATAATTTCTAGTCACTTTCTTACTACTGTCTACTAAGAAATTTTTGAATTGTCCACTTAGACGGCATGACTAATTTTGGGCATTTGATCACTGTAGCTCTCATTATGGGTTTGTCAAGCACTGTACGCTTAATACCTACTGATTTGAACAAGCAAACCTAAGAGGTGGAGAATAACCGGCAACGCCATACATGGGCCGATGTACAAACACTGAGTACGATACACATTTCATATGTTGAGAAGGTAAACATGGGCGGATAATTTCGCGTATAGATAATACCGTAAGCAAATAATTGCGAATTCCGCTTAATTTTTAAGATTAACAATCAATTTTAAACAATTTTTTAAATTGTCTAAAATATACATAAAAAAGTATTTAAACATATTAATAATGCTTATCCAGGACGAATTGAGTCGTTAAAAACTAGCATATCAACGTTTCCTCCTTTTTTTCTGTAATGAGTTAAAATAAATTAAAGTATAGCTTTAAATATGTTACACATCAAGTTAAATAATTTATCATTAATAAAAAAATTATTAGCTAACAAGTATTATTGTAAGTTTAATTATCTAAGCTTTTATATGAGTGGAGTAGAGAGAAGAAAATATTTTATTAAAATTCAAGATGCAATAAATCTAATATCTAGTACTTAAATAAAAATTAATGTGTGTCAATTACAAAAAACATAATAGATGCTATTAAGAAATTAATTGTTTATATTTTTACACCTAAACATTGCTTAAGGTGTTTTTATATATGTTTCGTTTAAAATAGCCGATACACTTGTGTATTAGCTATTATAGACAAAACATAAATTAGTACCTTAAACATGCAAGTCTTCACAAAAACAGGTACACCTGCATTCGTTTCGTTTTATTTTTATGCAATGATACATAATATAAATTTGAAATTTAAAAAGGGAAAGTAAATTTTTTTTTCTTTTAATATCCAGCGGACACTAAATTTTTAAAAAACTATCGGTGTATTTATTCGTTAAAACACTAGCGCGTGATATGTGTTAGTAATGAATAAAACTGAAAATATTGAATCTCACATTAATTTGCCCTTGGAATGAATTAGCTNTATAAAACTGAAAATATTGAACCTCACATTAATTTGCCCTTGGAATGAATTAGCTGTACGTTAAAAATGCTATTTACTCTCGTACTTCAACTTATTTGTGCAAAATAAAACAATTTAAATACCAAACTATAGATAATATGTTATACGGAAAAAATATGTAAAATTCTATTTTATGACTCAATAAAAATCATTATAATGGTTACTATTTAGCTAACGTATAAATAGCAGTAAAATAGTTGCATTTTGAATAGATATTTTTCAATCTTGTGTTATTGAAACTTCAAAAAAAGAAACAAGTAAAAAAATCTAGTTATGTGAACGTATAGAATCAATAATCAACAAATAATCGGATCACAAAACTATTTTTCTTACAAACTAAAAAATTTTCAAGCTCAAATTCACTTAAAAATTCTTTTTTTTTTTGGATTTATCTAAAAAATTCGATTCTTTCNCAAATTCTTTTTCTTTTTTGGATTTATCTAAAAAATTCGATTCTTTCAGCCTCCCTTCATGTATTATATAAAAATTCCTTTCGTGATCCTTAGCTAAACAAATAAATAACATTGAAAACGATAAATACAACTTAATCATNAAAATTCTTTTTTTTTTTGGATTTATCTAAAAAATTCGATTCTTTCAGCCCCCCTCATGTATTATATAAAAATTCCTTTCGTGATCCTTAGCTAAACAAATAAATAACATTGAAAACGATAAATACAACTTAATCATGTTTAATTAAAAATCAAAATATAATATTTTTCATGGTAAACGTGCAACTTAGTCTATCCGTGGAATTTGATCATTATTCTCGTCGAATGCATTTGTTCTGCTCTATGCCAATCTGTATACGCTAATAAACTGTTNATTTTTCATGGTAAACGTGCAACTTAGTCGTCTATCCGTGGAATTTGATCATTATTCTCGTCGAATGCATTTGTTCTGCTCTATGCCAATCTGTATACGCTAATAAACTGTTTCAATATTTTATTTTATTTTTAATTGTTCCTTATTATTCATATTTTTGTTGTGTATTGCTATGAAATATTTCAAGAGTAGTTAAATATGCAATTGTTGATCCTTCAAACTGTAATATATCTATTCAATTACACTGAAGAGTGTAAATATGTACATTCTACGAGTGCGCTAATTTTTATTTTACTAATTATGTATCATAATTATGATATGTTTAACGAACCCAACATTAAGTATGTGAATGTATGTGTTAAATCTTATATAAACGGAAACATTAAACAATTAATCATCTAAATCAGATTACACGCGATTTAATTATACCGAGTTCAAAACTCTCTTAATACGAAATTCAAGAGAAAATGAACAATTAAATTATTTCCTTACGCGTTTAAATAATAGTTCATCAGAAATTACTTTACGCATGCCTTTCATTCTGAACAGCCGAGTAATATGATCAACATACATGCGGAATTATCAATCATATGTAAACTTTCTCTGGGAAATTTATGGGAATTAAAGCAAAATTTAACGCTAAATGAACCAACAATCAAAAGATGTTAAATAGTCAAAAGCAATCTAATAAAATTAAATTTTCCAAAGCACAATGTAAATTATTACCTATTTTCGTATTAGCTGAGAAGGCAAAAGTGTCCACAAGAATACTTTTAAAACAATTTCAGTTCTATTCATCAGTGTGAACACAATTTAAATATACTTTGTTGTGCAAATATATACTATAGAAGGTATTTGGATTTAAAATTTTCGATAAAATAATTTAAATTGAGTTTTTTAATTATTTTCACAAATGCACAAAAATAAAATTATTTTTACTATTTATCATTATTGTCAACCATCAAAAAAACTACCGGAAAAAAAAAGAATAATAGGTGTACTATGTGTCCTTAAATGGGCAAGGTTTTACGATGGCGCTATTAACTTAACAGAATAGTAATACGAATAGTAAAGAAGGTTATGTGATTTTAAATGTACACTATTGGTAGCTAAATCGTACTTGAATTATCTATTTGAAGGTTTAACACTATAATTATCCAATAGATAGAAAACAATGATGTTTGATTTTCGCTGATACTTTTTTCATACTTTGTATGGAATATAATTAAGTTCAAAGAACACTGTAATATGATTGTAAACACTGAGATTTTCTTCATGCCATATACTACACCAGTTGTATTAGTTGCTGAATGATTTATTTAAAAATGTTGTCTGAAGGATATCTACCTAGTTTTTTGCCCGAGTAAAATAACAATTCAAATAAAGTTCGATGCTTTGTAGAGGAAATCGATCAATTAATTTTCTCGTACGACGATAACGTTGTGTCCCTAAACGCATTACAATAAGGTGATGGATATTAGAAGTATGTAATTTTCCCGGCAGTCGTAATGAGTAGCAAATTAAAACCGCAATTGTAAAAATAACACATCCGTGCAAGAAAAAATTAATAATAAACAAAATGTTAAAAATGTATGCGTACAGTAGTTTTCATTCAACTCGATATGACACACATATTAAGTATTAATTATATGACGTCGTCAGCCATTACGTCACCGCATCACGTTACTCATAAACAAGTATGTGCTGTGTATACTACATAGTATAGTGTAAGGCTGCTAAAACACGTATAAACGACAGAGTGTTGGATTATTTGAAATGTTTAGTGTGACTCACTCTGTATTCAATAAAGTCTCGTGTTACGACTGATAACTTGACGATTACTTTTAAGGGCACCGAGTTTAACTTTGATTCCTTGTTTAGTTTCTCTGAATAAGTCCAAATTCGGTATCTATTTACATCAGCTGTAACGACACTATAGACATTCTAAAGTTTACAGTTTAATATCAGTTAGCAATTCAACGACTATTAGATCATTTAATATGATGATAGAGAATTGTCCGAAAACAATGTTATATACTAGCTTAATACAGATACTATACTATTTGCTATCTTTATAAGTAATTTGTATTTTAATCGGAAATGAGTTTTAGTAACCCACGGCACGTATGACTCAATTTTCAACCTAAATGAATTCATTAGCGAAGCAATATATTTAAATGTAATGCTGGAAAATACCATAATTAAATATTTAACTCATTTTGAATCACTCGAATAGTTGGTAAATGATTTTTAAAACGATATTGATAAATCAATGAATTTAATCAACAATAATTATTTTTATCACTTTGGCAATGTTTGTAATCAGTTCTTATTTAATTTTTTTTTTTTATGAGACGAAACATATTCTATTATGAGTTAATAATATTTTAAGTTATAGTTTTTACAATTCGAAATAAAAAAATAACAGTTTGGGGTTTTGGGAAAAGTACACTTGAAAAGTATTTTTCTCTTGAATTAAGTTTGAAATACTTATATTATACATTTTACAAGTATTTATAGATAATAAAATCTTCTGTGTTCGTCCAGCAGAAATGTTAGTAAAATGAGTTTTAATTTTCCATCAGTTGTTAATAACAATTGATAGGCTATTGCATATTTAATTTTCACATCATGAGGAAGGTCTATGGACACAATTTAAATTGACCAACTTAACATTATCGAGCTGATTACTATAGGAGTGTATATCCGTTTTCCTAGTAAAAAAGGAAACCAAGTATGGGTTTTGTATTAAAATAATGACAGGAAATAATGTCATTGGATATGTTGCATTATAAAAGGATTACAATATGCCTATGTACTCTAATCAAGTCCTCTATTTAAAGTCGTACACTAGCTAAATTAATTAATAATAACATGATATTAAAAATTAATCAGTTATTCTATTTGACGTTAAAGAAACCTTATAAAATGTACTCTTCTTCATAATACGTCATTTAGACAAAAATAAAAACACAAGTTGCGTCATCCAGTGATTCTTGAAATAAACAATAAATATATAAAAAATTTTACATATTTTTTCGTACCAATAATACAAATGACTGTTCCATCGTGTAGTGAATATAGAATCACACAAAAAAATTGTGGCCAGACAACTCGGGTTATTCGCCTGATTACAATAGACTGCAGCCAATATATATTAC